TATGCTAGAAGATTATATGCTAGAAGATTATATTCTAGAAGATTATATTCTAGAAGATTATATTCTAGAAGATTATATGCTAGAAGATTATATTCTAGAAGATTATGTTCTAGAAGATCATATTCTAGAAGATCATAATCTAAAAGATCATATTCTAGAAGATCATAATCTAGAAGATCATATTCTAGAAGATTATATTCTAGAAGATTATATTCTAGAAGATTATATTCTAGAAGATTATATTCTAGAAGATTATATTCTAGAAGATTATAATCTAGAAGATTATATTCTAGAAGATTATATTCCAGAAGATTATAATCTAGAATTCTCAAGTGTTCACAATAAATAAATGTGTATTGGCGTCAGGTTAAAGAGGACTCGTCGTGCGTCGTGTTCGGGCTGGGAGCTGTCGGGCTGGCGGCCATCATGGGCTGCAAGGCAGCTCGAGCACGAAGGATCATCGGCGTCGACATCAACCCTGACAAGTTTGAGAAAGCCAAAGAGTTCGGAGCTACGGAGTGCGTCAACCCAGGACGATACAGCAAGCCCATCCAGGAGGTTCTGCTGGAGATGACTGGAGGGGGGGCGGACTACGCTCTGGAGTGTGTTGGAAGTCCAGCTGTTATGGTGGGTGTCTCAACCTCTCGATACATCGGCGCACGTTCAGGAGAAAGCACAGGTCCACGTACTGAACGGTTCTGGTCCTTCTGAAGATGCGTGTGAGCCGACTAAAGCTGCTGCACAGCTGATCCACAAGATCCACCTGAAACTTCTCGTCTTGCTGTTGTAGAGCGCCGCTCTGGAGTCCACCACTGAAGCTGGAGGCACCTGCGTCATCGCTGGATGGACCGAGACCGAGTCCATGAAGGTCCCGGTCATCCAGCTCCTCATGGGACGCACCCTGAAGGGGACTTACTTTGGAGGTGGCATTAAAGAAACCTGACTTCACGTGAACTGTGTGATTTTAATTGAAGAGCAACAAAGTAAGAAAGCTGTGTGCTCTGCAGGCTGGAGGAGCGTGCACGACGTGCCTCACCTGGTGGACGACTACATGAACAGGAAGCTGCAGCTGGACGAGTTCATCACTCACCAGCTGCCGCTGGACCACATCAACGAGGCCTTCGAGCTCCTCAGACATGGCCAGAGGTAAGAGCTCTGGGTTCTGGCTGGTTCCTCCAGACACGACGTGGCTACTGGTTCCATCAAGACCAGTTTGGAGCAAACTACAAAATCTCACCATAAATTAACTTTTGTTTGGTTTTGACAAGAGACGAATTAACATCGTTCATTAACAACTTCACTTTTCTGCTCAAAACAAAAAAAAGGAGCTTTTCAATATATTTTTGTTTGTTTGTTTGTTTGTTTGTTTGTTCCCTCCAGCATCAGGACGGTCATCAGCCTTCAAGACTCGTCAGAGGAGAAACCACATTTCTGAAAATCATTTCATTTAAACCTCTGCACATTTTATTTGATGTTTTTCAGTAAAAGTTGTGAACTTGTTGTTTGGATGAGCTCCAGCTGTAGATTTACATCAAGCTGGCCCCGCCCACACACACACACACACACACACACACATACACACACACACACACCTCCCTGTCTGACCTCAGGCAGGAAAGCAGATCCTGGTTCTTCTCAAACTTCCTCACATTCAACAGTGATAAAAACAAATGTCACAAGAAAAAACACTCGGGTGTCACTGATGCTCCTCAGGTCAGGTGAAGGTCGTCTCCAGCAGCACGTGTCAGTAGCATCACCTGGTCCTCATGGTTCCTCCAGAACGTTCCAACAAGCAGCTGTTCTGCTTCGTACCTCCATCACTGTAACAACCTTCTCTTTGGTCCCGTCATGAGCTGGTCCAGAACTCTGCAGCGTGGATCAGAACCAGAACTCCCTGGTTTAACCACGCCACCCCCAGCTGCTTCAGCAGCTTCATGAACTTCCTGTTGTGATGGGCGTGAGACGCTTCATGAAGCTGTGAAGCTTTTCTTACAGTTGTGCTGAAAAAGCTTCAAATCTTCAATGATGGAGACCTCCAGATGGCTCCAGATGTTCACCTGGTGCCATAAGAACGTCAAAAGTGCTTGTTTTGCTTCAATTTCCTGTCAACAAATAAAGATTAGAAAAGTCAAGAGTTTGATTTGTCCATTTGTACAAAATAATGATTTCATCTGCATTACACATTAAAAAGATCATTTTTACACTTACAAGTACATCCATCCATCTGTCCATCCATCCATCTGTCCATCCACCATCCATCTGTCCGTCCATCCATCTGTCCGTCCATCCGTCTGTCCATCCACCATCCATCTGTCCGTCCACTGTCCGTCCATCCGTCTGTCGGTCCATCCGTCTGTCCATCCATCTGTCCATCCATCTGTCTGTCCATCCATCCATCTGTCCATCCACCATCCATCTGTCCATCC